GGGGGGGGTTGTCACAAGATACAAATAAGAATAACATTAATTTGATGGAAACTTATAACAGGCCTGTACAAATTTCATCACTATATCTATCAGGATTTTCTGAGAATCAATGGTGGGTTCATTTTCATAAATTAAGTATTTGACCTCTTCTGTCTTACTAGAAGTAAGTTGAGTATCAAACAATAAATTTTGTTCACGAAGTGCAGTCATCATTTTATTACGTTCATGGGTATGGCGAGGGCAGGTTAGAATGAAATGCTTTGTGTCTTCAGTAGAGCCACAGAGGCATTTGTTGTCAATTATTCCAGTAAAATGATGAGTAAAGAAATGGTCTTTAAGGGCAAAATCAACTCGAAGCCTATTTAGCAGTTTTTCGTTGGTTCTACTTAAATTTAGTTTTGTAGTTGGTATGAAGTTTGAAATAGGGATAAATATCTGTTTAATAGAGCTTTTGAATCTAGAAATGGTTTGAATTTCACGAAAAGTCTGGCTTAGCTGGTTCCAATCATTTATAAGTTTTAAAACTGGTGTTTTGGAGAGTCTCATTGAAATATTTCTTGGGCAGGAAAAGGGTAAAGAGTGTCTTAAAATTCTAGTTGCTTGGTTGCGATGTTGGTCAAAAAGACTATGGACATAATAAGGCACTTCCTTTCTTACAATTTTGAACATCAGTCTTAGATTTTTTCGTGTCTTTTGTCAGTAAGCGATTTCCACTGTAAATATTTTAAAGTTTTTGAGGTGTTAGAGCCATGCAGTACCCCAGCACATATAACAGCAGCTTGGTAGTGGATTTTATCAAGCTTTGACAAGGCCGCCAAGGATGACGATCCGTAAATGGAGCTACAATAGTCAAAATGAGACGCCAAATATGAATTATACATTATTTCAAGATGGTGCGACTGTATTTTGTTTGATATGAGCTTCAAAGGATTTAACAGTTTTTGAACGTTATTAGACAGATAGTTTATATGGTCATTAAAAGTCAAATTCTCATCTAAGATGAAACCCAGGTGCTTGTGTGATTGCTTTTGGGGGATCATTTCACCATCAAAGTAAAGCGGAGACATTTGAATATTTTTTTGTCGGGTTGAGCGAAAAACTAAATGAGCTCTTTTAGATGCTTTAAATTTCAATTGCCAGGTTCTAGACCATGCACTTAAAAGATTTAGGTCATTTTGGAGTTGGCCAGTTTGATTACCAGAAGGGTGAAAGAAGAGTATAAGGAGGTATCATCTGCATAGATGAAAGTTTTCGAGGTCAGAGTGTCAGGGAGGTCATTTATGTATATCAGAAACATCAGGGGTCCGATTATGGAGCCCTGAGGCACACCGGAGTTTATGAAGTGGTCAGGAGAAAAGTTTGATGTGTGATCATCTACAGTGACACAGACTTTTCGATTTTCTAAGTAAGAAGAGTAGAGGTCGGCTAATTTACCTTGAATTCCATATGATTTCATCTTGTGAATGAGTAAGTTATGCGGTACAGTATCAAAAGCAGACGCCACGTCTAAATAAACAGAATTAACACAGTTACCCTTTTCCATTTCGTTAAAGATATAGTCAGTTATTGCTAAAAGTTGTAGCTCAGTGTTGTGTCCTAGAGAAATCCAGATTGAAATTGATAAAGAAGGTTATTTTCAAGTAGATGCGTTAAAATGCGATTATGCACAACTTTTTCAAAAATTTTAGAAAAAGTGCTTAGCAAAGTAATCGGTCTATAATTCTCAACTTGAGATCTATCAGACTTCTTATAAATTGGAGAAATGTTTCCAAGTTTCCAGCAACTAGGAAATTGGCCACATGCAAAAATCATGTTAAACAATTTTGATAACTGGAAAGATAATGCTTCCTGGGCTATTTTTGTCATTCTGTTATTAATTTTGTCAAGACCACAGGCTTTATCGCGATCAAAGGACTGGATTATTTGAAGAATTTCATCTGGATTGGTAGATAAATGGTCAATTGATATTCCAGTTCTATTTGGAAAATGTGGAAGTGCATCGTTATCCACTTGGTTTAAATTTTGATATTTTGAAGAAAAAAAGTTAAGGAAACACTCAGCTTTTTCACCCTCAGTTGTAGCTATGTGATCTGAAAAATTGCATTTCAAACTAAGGAGTAAAGCATGAATAGTTCTGGATAGAAAAGAATTGACTATGTTCCAGTATTGTTTTCCTTTACAGGTTGATTCATTAATCTGTTTTACAATATTTTCCTGGTAATTTAATTTTGCCTCTTTTATTAAGGATTTGACCTTTTCAGCTTGAGCAGTGTAGTTGTCAAAAATAGTTGTGTCATTTTTTGATTTGGTTTTCCGATAAAGTCGTTCTTTCTTAATAATATTGATTTTTGAATGGAATAAGAATATGGAATAATTGACACCTTGACATGAGAGGAGGTCAACCGATATCTTCAAAAGATTAGTAAGAGATTACAGAAGCCCTGTCTCCATGCTATCCACAATAAAATGGTAAAAGAAATACCTAAAAATGTTGAATGTGCTTTTAACAAACTCAGAGTGGGTCTTCTTTTAAAATCGCAGATATATGAACATACAAGGTGGGTCAATAAAAACTGGAACATTTTTCTATTTATTCAATTTCCTTTATTATTGCAGTTCAGTCCACAAAAATTTATATAATGGTGAAATGATTATTTGTGGAAATGTTAAAGATAAAAATATGTATGTATGATTAATTTTTGCTTGTCATGGTCATGATCTGTATACTGCGTGCGTCATGAAAAATTTCCAAATTTTCTCTGCTTGAGACATCATTGCTGAGAGTACAGTATCTCATACATATATGCCCTTCAAATGGTATCAACACAATTTCCATCATTTAAAACATATATGTACAGCGTTTTTTAGACTATTAATTATGACTAGCCGACTTCAGCTTTTTTCAAAACTGGCACAATATGTCTCAAAACCTGTCATTTAAACCAAGCATGGCTGTCAAATACAGCTCAGACTGATTGTTAATTAAGGTAGTCTCAGGGTCGGAAGAGGACATCTTTAGTAATGAAATGCTGAGCTTGTATATTCATATTTACAGAATGACAATGAATTGTTTTTCAATTTTCTAAAGTATTAGAACACATGACTAACAAAAAGTTACAATCGATGGAAAAATGTTCCAATTTTTTTGACTCAACGCAAGGGTTTCTTGAACTTGCCCCCCACCCACCTGTATCTGCTAGTCATTCATTGCTAAATTCTGAGACATATTGTGCCAGTTTTGCAAAAGAGTTGAGGTCAGTTGAGCTATATTATTCAAGGTCTTGTTTCTCCTAGAGATAACTACATGGAAATTGTGTTAAGACCATTTGAAGGGTACATATTGATCCCTTTTGTAAATGTGGATTACCACAAACACCTTCTCATTTTATTTTAAATGTCCTTTGCTTGTAAACGAGTGCGAAACCTAATTTGCAGGACTGTGAACTTCAAATCAACATCTTTTTATTCAGAATTTGAACACAATTTACAAAATTCGGTTTCTTTTGTATGGTGATGAATATTTAGATGACTCATTAAATAAAAAATTAAGAGAACTAATGGGTCATTTTGTGAATTAAAGTTTGAGCCAAATTGATCAGTTTGGCTAATTTTTACATGCATGTGTTAACTCATCCCTGGCCTATGGGATTATAGTTACTTATATGAATTATATCACTACTTTCATGTTTATGTATTCCTATTCTTATTAACTAAAATGCAGCTTATGTTTTCATAAAACTTTGGCAATCAATTGCTTGTATATTAAAAACCTAGTGATAATAGTATAACATTATAGGTAATTTAAATATCCTAGACATCAACATAGGACAAGAATAAGGTAAAAATAATATAAGCTCAATCAAGAAAATCACAGGTGCTCTCCTTCGATCGAGATCACTTTTCAAAATTTCGATTCCAACGATGCATACGTATTATATTCAGAAAGCAATGGATAGTTGATAGAAAATTGATAGTTGGTAATTCTTACCTATGATAGAAACAGTAGCCCTATTTACAGTACACGCGACATTTCAAGACGTCTTCGCTAAAACGTTTTAGTAAAATCATGTTGAGTTTACATCATCATATTCAAGACGTCTTACGAAATATGATTGAGTTTACACCTGTTTTTCTAAAACGTCGTAGAGATATGTAGGCATACATGTAAAATGAACAAAGCAGTTCAACACTGTTTGAAGGACGATTCAGTCAACATAGCTATTCCGTTCCCGCTATACTTCTGCTAAAGAATGCATCGGTTTCAAATAATATGTCCTAAAGAGAGCATTGTTAAAAGCATGAAAGAGGGTAGGAAGAGTTTGTGCATATATTAGGATTATGATAGAACACGAGGCGAAATAGTTCTTTTCGATATTTTTGGATGATATTGGTAACAAAGGGATGAGACAAGAGAAATGACCATGCTACACATGTAATCAGGAAGTTTCAAATTTTACGTTCAACGCAACGCATAAAACCGGGCTAAGAGCTTTTAGCTAAAACCGATGGATTTACACTTGCTTGTAAAACGTTTTAGCTAAGCGCTCTTAGCCGAGACATCTTGAGAAAATCTGGATTTACATTACATTTGTAAAACGTTTTAACGCTAAAACGTTTTGGCCAAGACGTCTTAAGGTTCTAGTGAAGTCAGGTGATAAGAGTGAAAATGCTGTCAAGTGACAAATTCTGAAAATCTGCATTTGCCAAGCAAGTTAATTCCCCGGGAAAAAGTGTGCATTTGATACAAGTGATTTGATTGCTCACTGCTGACCACCATCGGTGACAAATTCATTATCCAATCAAATCACGTGTTCCAAGTTTAAGGCCTTTCAACTTGCGAGGCAAATGTAGATATCTATGGTTGTTTTATATGCAGTATTATAACATACCTATGTTGGTATATGGTGTAAACTGTTCACTAGACAGCGATCCAATATAAGTTTTGAAAAGTCCGCGCCTGCTAACTTTCTGATTGGTAAAGGCGTTGGGGCGACTACGCGCGTACATACCAATCAACTGAAGATACTCTCAGACCACTCATCATTATATGTAAATACAGATCCTTGGTGTCTGCTTACCTTTTTATTAGGATATCCCTGAATAATAGGAATAGGAATAATTGCAAAACAACTGATTGCAGCTTCTTCATCAAAAATATTTATTAAAAAAGTTGTCACCAAAGAAAAAATATGGACTTTTTGGCCTATCCTGTATATTGATATCTTCCAATTGGAGCAACATACAATATCTCATTGTTATATCTTTAATTGTTATTACATATTGTTGGTATTTATAGAACATCCATATAAAAACGACGATCTGCTGCATAAGCCTCGTCATACGCATGGACGCTGTTACCGAGTTCCTTAATATCCAGGTTTTTTCTACTTGTTACGAACCAATCAACAAGTTCGGGTCCTAGTGCATCGCATATCAGTACATCTTCCTTCAGAGCATCGAGTGATTCATCAAGGCTTAACGGTAATGGAACGCCAACTTTAGCGTCCTGAGCTGGTGGTTCGATTTCGTTAAGTATTCCATCAATCCCAGCTGCGATATGACACTCCAGCACAAGGTATGAATTAGAAGCTCCAGAGCAAACTCTGTTCTCCATGTAGGTACTCGACTCTTCATCTACCTTTACTCGGAGCATTTTCAGCCTGTTACGTATTCCCCACGAGGCCATTTTTGCGATGAAGGCGTATGTTGCAAATCTCCTATAGCAGTTGACAGTCGGTGCCATGAAAGCTGTGAGCGCTCTCGCATGCTTGCAAATTCCACCAATCCACCATTTGGCAATATTAGACAACTTGTCTTCTTTGGACGGATCATAAAATGCAGCTTTTTCGTCGATTGTCCAAAGGGAATGGTTAAAGTGAAGACTATTCCATACGTGACAATCCGGAGAATTTTTGAATTCCTTGAAAGGTTCGGAAATGAATGTAGCGTGTAAGCCATAATGTTGACAAATCTCCTTAACAGCATGCTTGAATATGAAGGCATTATCAGCGTATTCCATTCCAAACCTTGGCTCCAGGGTGATCTCAAATTGACTAGGTCCCCATTCGGTGTGGATAGATTCCACATTGATACCTAGCCCCGTGTCCGAGAGTTGATCAGATATATCAAAAAGCATTTTATCGTACCTTGCTTGTGCTGTTATGCAATAAGCGTCTTTTTGGTTATGCCCTTTTAGAAGAGTGACCTTGTCGTCTTCTGTTACCATGAATTCAAATTCATTCGACGCTTTTATTTTATACCCCATGTTGGCTAGTTTTTCTACCTGTTTCCTACATGCGAACCGACTACATGCCTCTTGAAATGGATTTCCCTGATCTGGCCTTGTTCTCCATTTTGTCTCGCCTAGAACGGATGCAACACGACGACATGACATCTTGCTACCCCATGCCACATGATGAAATGTAGACGGTATCACTTTAATCTCACAATCGGCAAATGTCCCGAACCCTTCCATAGGGTGCATGCCTGAACTCGCAGAATTGGCATGGAAGCCCTCAAACATACCAAGTCCACGGAAAGCGACCTTTTCGGTGAAAAACTTGGAAGTTACTGTCTTACCGCGCGATATACCGCCCAAATCAGCAACCTGCACTCGAATGAAATCATATTTTGAAGCTTTTGAAATCATTTCCTGAATCTCTGGTCGCTCTGAGTCATCACTATGGATTTTGTCTTGGTCGTTTAGCTGGACAGCTTCCGCCATATTAACTTCACTAATTTACGCTATAACTGCTGATATCCTAGCCTGCCTTTGTGCATGCATTTGTTCACAGTACATCAGTAGACTGATGTGCACTTTGAAACCTGTCATCATTTTGAACATTGAACATTTTGAAGTTCTATTAACATCTCATGAGAACGTAGACTCCCACCAGAGCGTTGACCCATATTATTTCTAAGTCAAGTAATAAAACCAGGTACGATTAGAATCAAGCCATTCACCTGCGAATCTTGAAAATCGGAGACAAAATGCTAAAATAGAAATACAGGTTTTACGAGGGCAATAATGTGTCAAAATTAAATGTTATTCAGTTGTGCAATGTCAACAACAGTACGAGAACGACTGTAAAGATATGTCTTTAGCAAGTCATCGAGAATCGAGACACTTCTAGGTCATGCATGTATGTAAGTGCAAGTTAAATTCAAGCCGCTCTAGTTTTGCCTATTCTTATCGTTCTGTAATTTGATAACATTTGAAGTGTCTCAAAAATAGCTACGGTGTCCAGGGTCGTTATTCTAAACGAGTCCATTTAAAAAGGTGTACGTTTTCAAACGATACATATTAGTTGTACTAATACATGTAGGTTTTTGATTAAAAACAAAAACTAGTGTTTCCATTTATTCTAGTTGGATAATTTAAAAACCTTTCTACCTAAGACTTACTGGGAGTTTAAAAAACTATTCAATAAAACATTCGAACTAAAACAACTTCCTACATTGCGATGTACAAGCCAAGGTACACGCCCGATGATCGTACAAAATGGATGGAGGGGGAGTAGGCGATTTTTGCAAGAAAACTCAACAAATTTGGAAGTTTTATTTTTTCAAGAGAAAATTTACAACTGAATTGCCAAATGAATAGGCGCAATGCATGGCAAAATATGTTAGGTCTAGTATTTTTTGAACTGATACGCTTCTAAGATATGAGATCTATTAAAAAGGCGCATCATTACTAACGTGCAAAAGTCAATGTTTTTGCTATAAATCAGGCAACAATGGTCTACACGACCTGTAATAAATAGGTATAAGGGACGTTATTATCACAACACTAATGGCATTGCTCACTTTTTAAAGTTAGTTTCCATGCGTCATACAAAAAATAATCGAAATAAATTAATATTGGATGGAGGGGGGAGTTATATGTCTTTACGATGAAACAGATTCACAAGAACTCGTGTATTTGAAAAAACTAAACTCAGTACCCCCAGTAAGAAACTGGATATTATATCTCTGGAGAATGAAAAGGGGGAAAGAATAAATTCAAGTAGCATGCCTTATCATGTCTTATATACACGTTACTCCCCCCTCCATCCACCCCCCCCCCTCCATCCAAGATTAATTTATTTCGATAATAAGGTAGTTTAAACTCTAAAATCACTCTCCGATCATTTACAAGAGGACAGATATGTGTATTTTTCATTGCAATTAAAATAATTCTTCTGACGATGATAAATGGAGAAAATAATATTACAAGGGTCGTTCAAAAGGTTTTGCACGAAAGCTCAAGAGAAGAGATTTTATTATTTGTACATGAATTTCCTACGGGTATAGTTTTACCTATCTTACATTCATATCTGAAATCTCAGGACCATACACAATGTACATCCTGAGATACATTGACTTTAAAATTTGAACCAAGGGTCCCATGGTCCATATGACATTATTAAATTGAATTTGTTTTGTGAATGCCTTGAAAGGCTAAAATTGTTCAGCCAATCTTTGTTCTTTGAGCAGTTATTAGTTTAATATATTATAACTGATTTATAATCAATCAAAATATGGAGCCTTCCTTTGAAGTAATGCATTTATATGCATTCTGTCCAGTCTTTTAAACCATGTCTGAACCCTCCTACCTATATGATGTAAAGCCTTCTGATAACTACAGCTCCCTTCAATACATTTTCCTTTGTCTATTTCTATTTTGGAATACTTAGTCATCACATGCAATATGTCTTAATGCATGAATGAATTTAACTTGTGTAATACAGTTTTTCCATTCTCTAAAATTCATTCTACCAATAGCTGCTTCAATTTTATTACTTTCTGTCATATTAACGTCATTAAAACAGGTGATTTATCAAAGATGTTTGAAAGGTATGTTTGATCTTTTTGAACAACCCTTGTAGTATATTTGATCTGTACATAAAAAGCCACATTATCAATCTTTTAATTGATTCCATTTGTTTCATTGAAAGAAATAAACATCCAAAACTAAGAGTGGATGGTGAGAGGCTAATCTATAGTTCATATTAACCCAGACGTCCTAAGGTTGAGTGTTCATTTGTAGGTCGACAGAGTCAGTGACAATTATATGCGTGCTGTCATTCTGAATTATATTGTTTGTCCTCCTGTCAGTCATCCATCTGAATGCCGGACATATGTCATACACAGTTAATTGATTAGATTCATATTTGATAGAAAGATGTATATAAGTCTAGACGGTTTTACCCTAGAATTTTTGGGGGTTATTTCATGGAGCTCAATCCCAAATTCTCTGAACAGTTTTCATGTTTGAATCGGAATAAATAATGATAGGCCATTCAATATGGTGGAATTCTACAACCCTTGGACAGAGTGTCCGTACTTAAGGTTCTCACCTTCGGTTCGAACAAAATTCTGAGTTTTTGTCTAACCCTTTTTAATTTTAAGATTCCTCCGATAATTAGGCCTATGCTCAAATCATCATCTTTATCAAGAGTACGTCCGGTAGTACGTCAAATACAAGATAGCCATCCATCTTCCAAGAAATAATGAAAATCCGAATGTTAAATGCAAATAGGACGTAACATAATAAACATGTGAATATGTTTTGGTCTTTGTGATTGCTGCTTCGTGGTGTTGCCGTTTTATTTGTTTTATCTTATCTTTGTTCCAAACGTGATTTTATAAATACTTTCTTCATTTTAATTAAGAGGCGTCTTTTCGGCAAAGGCATGTGTTTTCACTATCCTAGTCGCTGTCAAATGATATCACGGTGCTGATGACTGACGCATCACCCTTGCTTAACAATACTTACTTAATTGTTGCCACTTTATTTGCCAAAAATTTCAGGTGGATTGAAATAATCAAAGACAATAAGCACCTACAGGGTGCTCAATAGAAAATGAGTGATTTTTGTTGAAATGTACATGTCTTTAACAAACCCTCGGAGCCTCGCTTTTGACACCAAATTAGCATTTATAAAGCTGATGCGTATGCTATAGCCACCGTGGATGTTGAGACTTTGAGCAATGGGCTTGGCATCAAAGATTGGCTGGCATTTATCTTTATACATTAATTACTTTGTGTAGAGAACAACCTTCTCTGAATATTATTGAATATAAACAACATGGCAAGTGAGTCAAGTAAGTTACTTTCTTTCTATGTATTCAAACCCAGAATATGTATCCAAATTTCGCAAATTAAACAAAACAAACACTTCGTATAACTTTTCCATTCATGCAATACAACTTGACTAAATTCGCTCAAATTTTGATTGGGCAAATTAACCATAAAGCGCAAAATCAAGAATTGCTTTTCAATTAAGACTTAAAGAGTAATGACGTACTTCCTTTTGGACACTCACTCTTACAACGGACTATTTAAAGCAACTACTACGCTCGTTCATCATTTTTTCATTTTGGGTTAACATTTAACGTTGAGATCGTTAAACCATGATTTTCAGAGCAAACCGACATTCGGATCGTACTTCTTGGTTTAAAGGGGTCTGGAAAAAGCAGCACTGGAAATACAATTCTGGGATGGAATAGATTCAACGAAACAGCGAACTCGGCCTCTGGAGTTGAAAGCGAAGTAAAACAACTCGGTCTGGTTACTGCCACAATTGTGGATACACCAGGACTTAGTTCTTCCGAAATGTATATGCATGAACGTTTAGATGAGATCATGGCAAACCTACGTGAGGAAACAGAGCCAAGTCCCCATGTTTTCTGCATTATCCTTACCACCGAAGCATTCACAAATGAAGATATTAAAACGACCGAATTACTGCAGAAAGCTCTTGGTGAAGTAGCAATGCAACATGCCATACTGTTATTCACACATGGTGATGAATTAAAAGGTGACCGTAACGTAAACATAAACGAATTATTTGACCAAGCGCCCAACGAGTTAAGGCAACTCAGAGATATGTGTGGAGGAAGAGTTTTTGTCATCAATAACCGATCGTCAGATTCTGATTCCGAAGTAAAGGGCCTCTTTAACAGTATCTCAAAATGGAAATTAGACTCGGTAAAGTTTCATGGATTTACCAAAGGTAAATTACGTTTGTGATATAATTGAACATTTTAACAAAATAGCACCGTAATTTTATGCTGTGTTAATTGTTTCACATTGGGAATGCTATATCATTTGCTGCGATGCATCGGCCGGCGCTCGGCCGATTAAGTATTTTGTTCCTTAAACTGAATACAATTTTGAACAAAACACTCAATCGGCCGGGCGCCGGCCTATGAATCGGAGCTAATGTGACCCAGGCATAAGTTGTGCAACCTAGATACCATGCCCAAGGTTCATGGAGAAACAATCAGATCAGATGTGTCTAATCATAAAGCATTTCTCGTTCATGAAGTCATTTTGGAAGTTCATCTGAAAAATTAAAGATCGTTGAAAGAATTTGGGAGGTTTGCAATTTAATAGAAAACTAAAAACACATAATGCGTTCATGTAAAAAATACAGTACTGTATATATAGAAAGCAAATGCTCGATAAACTTGAATCACACGGCAAACCAATTAAACACCTTTTCAACATGAAGGACGATTCCCTTTTTTCAATATGGTATGTCTTGTGAAAATAAAGAAATTGAAATTGTAGCAGAATTTATTCATAGATGTAATATAACATAGAAGGGTGTGATATATGACATAAACAATGGACGCGTATCACAATCACCATTCATGTGCTCATCCATGATACATATTTATTTGTTCATTTATTTACTTATTTATTTATTATGAAGTATTAATTGTTTGTGTTGTTACCAAACTTTTTTAGAAAAAATGCATGATTTCCGCATGCTTTAAAATAATTAAAATAACAAGTTATTTTGATATTTATATGTTATAATTAAATTGACCTGCCTACCCTTAATACAGGTTACCATGGCAGCCTTATCTCATTGATAATTTGAGATATAGCTATAATATTTTAGCATTTTATGTGTAATTACATAATCTACATTTTCTGAAAAAATGAGAGGGATATGTGAAAAAATCACAAAATGAGAGCATTTTTATCAGAATATAAATGTTTTATGTTGTATTGATATATTGTAAAAGTGTTTACTTTGTGTACACTTAACCCTTTATGGGTATGCATGTGTAATAAAGTTCATAAATCTAAATCCAATCTGATCATGGGATGGTGCAGTTAGATATGGAAAGTACTTTATTACTTGTGAGAATGTTAAGTTAACCTTTCAACCTTGAAATTCACTTTTTAAGTAATACATCATAAGTATTGATTGGTGCTAAATTGTTGGTCGTCTATTGTTTTCGTAATTGATCAGAAGTCCCTCATTCAGAATTTAAGGGTTTTGTTTTCGTTAAATGCCATTTCATTGATTATGATGATTGTAGAGCCACCTTTGTTATTTGTCGAATTCGTGTGGTTGTAGATCTAGATAAAAAGAAAAAAGAGAAAGAGGATGAAGGAGACGAAGAAGATGACGAGGACGCGGAGGATGGTGAAGACGAAGAGAATGATGAGGACGAAGAGAATTGTGAAGACAAAGAGGATGATGAGGGAGAAGAGGATTGTGAAGACAAAGAGGATAATGAGGGAGAAGAGGATTGTGAAGATAAAGGGGACGATAAGGAAGACGATGATTGTGAAGACAAAGAGGACGATGAGGAAGAAGATGATTGTGAAGACAAAGAGGATGATGAGGACGGAGGGGAATGTGAAGAAGAGGGTGATGGGGATGAAGATAATAATGAAGAGAATGAGGATGACGATGAAGCAGATAGTGATGAATAAGTTGATAATAATGCTGGTCAGGACAAAACTGAGGAAAACAAAGATAAAAACAGCACCGATCAGGAAAATAACGAAGAAAGTAGCAAATATGGGGATTCAAACTAATACCGTAAAACCCATAGTGTTTTGTCAAAATCAAAGCATCATTTTTAAGTTTATGACCAAAGTAATAATCGATAACAAAGGGCAAAATGTATCACTGGTGTGAAACCGGCGTTTCCATGGCAACGCCAATGTTGTCACTAGTAAATTTAGGATCTATTTGGAACAATAAGTCGGATATTGACGATGTTGCGATCAAATGAAAGAGAATCGTTTCTTAAATCGAGGCAGCTACATTACTCTATGCAGACTGTGCTATACGAAAACAAGCGGTGCGGATATCATGTGCGCAAGATGCGGATATTAGCGGGTATTCTTGAATTTGATTTCATGATATTTCACCAACTAAGGCATGTTGGGCACTCAATTATATTCATACATGATACATGTTTAATGTCTCCTAATAAAAAGAAAATTGTGTAAATAGGTACTCTCTCAAAAGCAAATAATTTGATATTGCAGCTGTTAAATCACAGCGTAAACAGTATTAATTCAATATTGGTGATCGAGATGACATATCAATACAAATTATATCTGCATTTTGAAAGTTGAAAGGTTTCTATGTGATTTTATACAAAATAGGAGACATTAAACAAAAATGTGCTACACCGTTTGTTTAAAGGTAGCACATATCTGATTGTTTTGAATTTGTTAAAAACTCACACAGAAAGTTTATGACTTTCAAAATGCAAAAAAGGCTGTAAACTTTGTAATAAAGCAACAATTTTAAATTATTTCTATGGAGAAAGAATGAATGCTAACACCCCAGTCACATTTCCTACGGCGACCTTGCGGTCTATCATTTCTGCGGCCAGTAGCTTTTCTACGCTCGCCGCAGAATTTCTACGCTCTCATACTTTTGCAGTCACATTTCCCACGGCAGCCGCACGGTGAATTTTAAATTTCTATTGATAAATAATAGTTTTTTTCATTTTATTTACATCAGGACAATTCAGAAATGTTATTCATAGTGCTAGGATGTAATATCAAATGGAAAGTGATCGTGAAACATTAACAAATGATGATTCGATCTTGTTCAGCCAGTTGATTTCTACGGGGACCTCAGAAATGAACAAAAATTATAACTCCGAGTTATAATTTCTACGCCTTCCCTGCGGCCTGTAAAAATCTGCATTCGCCGTACGGAGGCCGCAAGGCAAGCGTAGTTTTTCTACGCTCGCCGCAGAAATTCACCGATTTAATTGATCTGCGGTCGACCTGCGGAATGAAGAATACAGCTACAAATTTTCCCTTTTATTAGGTATCCTCTACAAATGGATGACTATACTTGAGTACCTAACATGCCTTTGTTTATAAGATATCAAATATTCAAACTCAAAAATGGCAGTTAATATCCGCACCTTGCGCACATGATATCCCCACAGCTTGTTGTCGTATAACACAGTCTGTATAGGGTGTACATAATGTACATATTAATTACTAAACAATGACACGTCTGAACCGCCTTTCCAATGGGTGCGGTTCTCAAGCATGTGGTGTCTCGGAGGAGCCCACGAGGTTAGATTACACTTATTGGCAACTATCAAATATACCGGGTCGACTAAAAAGTGCCCCGCCTTTCCCAAAGTCAAGTTACCATAGTAACCATTATTATTGACCAATTAAATTAGAGATGTTACGAATCGATATTTTAAAAAAAATTAAATTTTGAAATGAGAGCATTTTTCCATGAACTTATTGAACGACCTGGTATGTCAGTCTCGAAAATACACTTTAGTAAATGAATTATAATATAATGATAGGCTCTAACTAATAGTACAAGAGAAAACATATATATGCTTCTATTACAACCAGAATTTCTTGAAGAGTACATATTTTTCTATTTGAAAAGCATTAAGACCTCCTTGCTTTCGTGTATTATTGCATATTTTCAATGACGAGCTATCCAAGCCTAAATAGCTTACTGAAAAATTGAGTTCAAAATGAATGGAATAATTTAAGTAACAGTCCTGTCAATATATGACATATTATAAGAAATAACTACTATTTATATGTTGAACTAACAATTAGTTTAATTGATTATAGGAAATAGACCGTTGTTGCATTTTTGACATTATGATCAAAAAGCTCAATTACTGACTTGGATTAAATAGCAAAGTATTAGTCATATATTGGGCTTATACAGGGTGGTCAAAAGAAGTGAAGCATTTGGAAGACTGTATATAACTTCGAACATAAGAGATGTCATTTTCTAATATGAAGTGTGTTTTGATCGTTGGGTAGTAGACGCTTAATGTACATTGTACTTAATCTACATTTTTGCTCTATACTTTTTAAACAGCCATGAATTTATAAACTATTTTGGTGGTGGACGTTAAGCATTATGTTTCCGAAATAGTGAAATTGTAGTCTTGCTTCAAGACCCTGGACTATCTACTGTACACAACTGAATGGACAACTGTGGTGCTAGAAAAAAAGCCATGTTCTCAGTCTTGAAGCAAGATTAAACTTAAGTAAAATTGCATCTCAAAGCATATTTTGATCAGAACTGTTTCAAAACATAAAGTATGAGAATGCTAATTTCCAGTTACAGGATTTTTTGTAAAATAATTCAACATTGATTTCAGTATTGATTTATTTTGCTTTCTGATAACGATTAGAATTATCGCGAGAAGCAAAAGTAAGATGGGGTCAGAGATGTTTCGGAAAATGCCCAGAACGAATCGTAGCTAGAAGGGAGGTTGCCTTAAACATATATTTAACTTTGATTGGCTTTATGTCAGAGTACCTCCGGCCCTGATGTGTAATTCATCCTGCTCATTATTATTTGATTCGCATAAATGTCATTTAATAATTGAACAATTTCTATAAATATTCATCGCTAATTCGCATCAAGTATATCAGAACACAATAACTTGGAAAGATGCAGCCTTTCGCAGTTTTGGTATTCGGATTGACTTTTGGGACTATTCTGGCAATAGACGATGCTTTCAAGTATAGACAGAATCCACCAAGTATGATTTTATGTTTTTAGATGTGTATGTCATACAGTTATATAAGACTATTTTAAAAATATTATTTAGCAAGAAATATGTCTGCTTATTATAAAAATGATCAATTTATTTGATTATTATCGTTAATTATACAAGAACATCATACATTCAAAAACATTTCTATTAGATCCTGATAGAATATTTAGGCCATCGATCAGCACTCCATTTTGCTTCATTTGGTCAATATATATTCGTGAAAAATTAACTAACTTTGCCTCAACGAAATTGTAGATGAAAAAGTACTATGGAAATCTAACATATAATTTTTCGGTAAGAAAGTAAAATTTCAATCAAATGGTTTTCAGTCTTAATTCTTCTCAATTAACTTGAACAACTTTCACGTTAAGTAAAAAATAAAAAATGGGGTGCCTATCAGTCGTACCTTTTTCTGATGACTGGATAATGTAATATGTAAGATTTGTTTAACTAACAAGGTCGAAAACCATCGCAATGTACAGACGAGGCCCGCAATTGTGGTAATCTGAATGCCGGGTCTTGTACCAGAAGGCGCAACGAGCGCTTATGTTGCGCCACCTGTTGGCGATATCTGGTACAGAACAAGAATAACCCAAGAGGTAATTGATTTACCAAAAAATGTTCTTATAGAGAGTGTTTCTAGTCTAATTGATAATAAACATAAACATATTGACTACACAAGTGACATGGCAGGCATACATCTAGCAAGGGCGAACGTAATACCCTGATCGTTCGCAAATTGGCGTTCGGTTTTTTACCGCATCCGATTTGAATTAGCCAATAAACAATAAACATGATCTATACACTATTGTCTAATGAAGACCAAACAAAGCCCCGAATTTAATATCTATATTTATTTTTATATACATCCAATCCGAGTTAGTGTGGAAACATCTTAAAAGTTTGGCACATATCTCTGGGATGATATATATCATGTTGAATAATGTTAAATCGACATTTAGATTGCCCATATGGTTAGTGTGGAAACATCTTAAAAGTTTGGCACATATCTCTGGGATGATATATATCATGTTGAATAATGTTAAATCGACATTTAGATTGCCCATATGGTGACAGTGCATCTAACTGCGCAAGCTTGTCGCCAAGAAGTTGTTCGTCGTCAAGGAATAAAAGAATATGCTGCTCTACTTGTGCCAGATATCAGACTGACGATCGGGGTAAAGGAATATTGACACACCTAGATGCTTACGACTAAGACCCGCTTCAAACTACATCCAGAATTTGTACATATAGTAGTTTTTGTCTCGTGAAATATTAATTTTTCAATACAAACTCCGCTAATTGATATTGTTCTTTATAAGATCAATATTGAATATTTAAAGATTTTGATTTTTCTAAATTAAACACACCAGATTGTCCGTATGGGGATAGTGCAAGTAACTGTGGGACCCTGAGTCCAGGCGACTGCTACAGTGCCAACAATAGAGATCTGTGCTGTTCCACTTGCAAACGGTTGGAAACAGGAGATCCATGTAAGCTATTTTGAAACTTTTCGTAGAATATTTGCATATATTCTGATATGTTAGTTTAGCAATTTATGTATTCAAATCTGAAAGATGATAAAATATTTGTGATCTGCAAGATACTTGTAAAAGAGTGCTTTGGAAGGATCTGGCAAATGATTATATTCACGAATTTTTGAGCTCCCCTGAATCGAGACACAAAAACAAAGGTAAATTGATGTACGTATATAGTAAAATGAACCATACGAAAATACAGTTACAAATACAAAAATTCAAAAAGTATTTCTTCGAACAGAGAGATGGATTCAAACATGACCGTGCTCTATTCAAATTTCTCAACCAATCAGAATGCAGCATAGCCAATATAGAACGTTCTCTAATTCTCCATAGATGCACGACCATGCTCTATTCAATCTGCAATTTGCATTGTTTTGAGTGACGTCACATCTCAGCTGCACATCTGGGGCTCTGTCCGGGGATAGCTGTTCTTTTTTGACTTCAGCATGCGTATTCTTCCTTCATGCCCGTTCCACAGACACGGCTTTTACTAATTTTTATGTTTGAATCGGAATAAATAATGATAGGCCATTCAATATGGTGAAATTCAGCACTCGTTGGACAGAATGTTAGTACAAATGCACTCACCTTCGGTTCGTGCTTTGTACAACATTCTGTCCAACTCGTGCTGAATTTCACCATATTGAATGGCCTATCATTATTTATTCCTTAATTCACGAACGGCAGATTTCATGATATATCCCCAAATACCTTTATTTATTCAAATAATAAATAATATTAATGAAAGGACCAATGATCGAACCTTGGTTAACAGCATTATTAATATAACATTATTTTGGAATCTTCCAGCTTGTAAATGGGGAGACAATCCACGACAGATGATAACAGATAACACGGGCAACCGACTCCCATGCAGAGACTACGCCTTGCACATGGGCTTTGATTTCTGTCGAATGCTGAACGCCGGTGGAAGACAGAACTGTTGTGTTACATGTAAAGGACATTTTTAAACTAAATAGACTAATATGGTGTACTGTAATCTAATAAACTTGAAAACATGGAATTTTAAGAACCATATGAATTTTATTATCTTACAATTTTTCATTCTGAAGATTAAAATGTATTACAAATTCAATTCTGTTCTTAAATGTAATTCTACATAAATATCAGACATCAGAATTAATGCTCTTGTATTAGTTAGTATAGTAGACCACTCAACAAGCGCAGTTCATGGTAATATACAGCATCCATTATCTATCTAGTCATGACCTTTCTTATTTGACGATTTGCATTCTTGCTATTGTTAAATACTTCAATTGTGGATTCATTAATATCGTCTTCATTTGTTTCCAAGGCTCTGATTTGACTCATTGTATCATTGCGACGCTGTTCCTAAAGATCATCACCTGGAATGTAAAACATTATAATATTTTCAAAATTTTGTTTAGACGAAATCGATTGTGCAGTGACATTATCGTGCCCTGTATCAAGAATCTAATATCAGCAAGGTTCATATAATAGTCGGGTAGAGAAATCGATCATTTTGTGGACTGGATAGTTGTTCAACAGTAGCTACAATGGTCATGAAATTTTTGTCAGGGAAGAGTCAAAAAGTTATGGTTATCAGATCGAAGAAAGTATGAGTTTAAAACATGGAAAAAGTTAATTCTGTAACATGTTTTGATTAAATAACGTGATAGTTTACCTATTCAAATATTTCACCTTAATTTCACTTCTACAGAGTGTTTCATAATGACCGTCCTCCGTGAATCACCAATCCTAGATGGCACATCTCCATTTGTCATATATCATATTAAAGCTCATCCAATTCTGGACTCCTTGAAACAACTTTGATTAAGCTCGGAAGCTTTTACTTCTTGTTACATATCATTAAAAAGGTGCCCATTTGATCTTTGGCATAATTGAATGTCCAAAATTAATCAAGAATCTTTATAAAGTAGCGGTCACACTAGCCGTGTAAGCCCACCGTTCGCCACCGTGTGGCTAATTATGGCCAGACGGCGATGGCCGGCATGGTCACACGGTGGGCCGTTTCCCGGCCGTTTGAAAACGTTCAGGGAACGTTGCCGGCCATCCACACCCGGCGAATTTTTTGAGCATGCCCAAAACTTTTTCCGTTTGACTAACGTTCGGCTGCGAACGGCGATAGCGGTATGGGAATGGTATGAGAACGGTGCGGCCGTTAAGGACACGTTCACAAGGCGGTGATGGGACGATGGGGGACGTTGACTCAATCAGCGACGGGTTGCGAACGACAGTTTACCGCTTTGGTACCGTCCAATAAACGGGCTCCCAACGGGTGTTTGAAATGTCATATTAAAAGCGTTTTCACGGTACCAGCCGCTTAACGCCTAGGTAACAGTCCATTGACGTGTTGACGGCCTTATAACGGCTTCATAACATCCTCCTAACATCCTATTACCGTGAATTCGAAATCGTACCGTCTAATGACGCAGCTTGTCACCGTCTTCTGCAGTTTCTGCAGTTTTTTCCTCTTCGATTTATTCACTCTTGACCATGTCACACTTTTGGTCGTGTCAGACTGTCAGTCTTCATCATGGATTGTCCTGAAAAGGTTCGTTTAATGTACATGGTTGCCATTACTCAGAGAGAGCGGAATGAAATTGACTTAGAAATTTGCAATCACATTCGTCGACATCAGCAGGAAAGGGCAAGGAAAGGTAGAAATGTATGGTCGAGAGAATGGGTGAAACGTCGCAGATAATTTGGCTTGTATGACCAGTTGATGGTAGAGCTTAGGAGGGAGGATCCACAAGCCTTTAAAAACTTTCTCAGGGTGCCTCCGGAGATGTTGGATGAAATATTGAACAGAGTTGAGCATCGCCTTACCAAACAACATACCAGGCTACGGGTGCGAAGTACAGAGATCTTCAATACAGCTGGAGGATACTACAACTACAAGGGTTTCTACTCTGTTGTGTTAATGGCGTTGGTAGACTCTGACTACAAGTTTATCTGGGCCGATCTTGGTGGTAAGTGTTTCATGACAAAAAGAGACCATTTATAAACAAAACGTCTCTTAATTCAATGAAATTCAGTTACACATCGCAAGTTTATTAGTTTAAATTATTTGTTTTAGACGACCATTACATAATTTACACAAAACAACATATTTCTTGAAGACAATATTTCGTAAATGTTTTTGGATTTTGAGAGACGATCGGTGAATCAAATTAAACTTAGAGCGAGCATCAACATTCCCTGGAAAATTTGTGAAATGTCAAGATAAAGTATGACGTTAAAGTCTCACAACGTTTTTGAATTTTTCTAGAAACATGGTTAGAAAGAATACTTCAAAATGTTCTATAAAGCGCATGGCACGTTTTTAATTAGGTGAAACTGAACGCTGTTCATTTCATAAATGCAACTGTTCTGTATTTTTAGGGAAGGGGCAGCGTCTGATGCTCAAATTTATAATGCCTCAGAGCTCAAGCAGGGCATAGCTGATGGTTTCCTAAATCTCCCCGACCCCTCTCCACTCCCAAACGACAACCAGGAGGTACCGTATTTCTTTATAGGAGATGATGCATTCGCCCTCACACCAAACATGATGAAGCCGTATGGTGGCAAAGGAAGGAACGTGGAAGAGCGTATATACAACTACCGTCTGTCAAGGGCACGTCGCTGTGTAGAAAACGCTTTCGGGATCATGGCGAACCGTTTTCAAGTGTTACTGACGACCATGGGCCATGCTTCTTCAACTGTTCGGTTGATTGTCCGGACCTGCATGGTACTACGCAATCTGATGCGCATGAGGTATCCCCAAATGCAAAACCAACTCATCAACCAGCATGGTGATTACGCACACCCAGCTGGACATTGGAGGGGAGCTAGAAATCTTGAAGATACACAAAGACAGGGGGCCCGAATCGTGACAACCGGGAAGGCAAGAAACAACGCAATCTCCTCCGGCACTGGTGTAACTGCGAGGCCGGGTCTGTACCATGACAAGACAGGAAAATATGAATACGTACACTCCTGGTCATGATTTTTCCGAGGATATAGAGCAATTGAGACTTGTTAGGTTATACAGGGTCAGACAAAAAAGGTAACCCAAACAAGTTTTAATAACTCAGTCTTCTAATATGGGTTTTAAGCCATATTTGGCACAAATGAATTTTGTTCATTGTTCTTTCATTGGTCTATTTCGAATGATCAAGCTCGTAATGGTAATTTTAAAAAACATGCTCCAAAATGGTCATTTAAAAAAAACATGCTCCAAATGCCAAAACATACCAAAATAACATAATCTGAATTCCCAAAATTGTACCTTTGTGGCTTCACTAAAACAATAGAGCAGAAGGAAAATGAGAGAAATTACACAAGATATTTGTGAGTGTGTTGTCAGAAAACTTCACCCGATACGTTCAAGTTTGCTTTCAAGACAAGACCGGCATTTCGGGCATGTTTGGTAAAATGACCATGAAATGTTCACCGTTTTTGAGTAGACCAATGAAACTTATATTGAATAAGATTTAATTGTGCGAAATACGATCTTAAACCCATACTGGATGACTGAAATATAAAGATTTGTTGAGGTTACCTTTTTGGATCACCCTGTATATCAATAATTACACGTTAAACATTATCTTCTGTGACAAGCAATTTGTTTTACAAAGACATTTGTGTTATTTAGTTCTTATTTGCTATACAAGAGTAGATGAAAAAATTTCTAACCGTTGGCTCTAGATTTTATAATAAGAGGGGTTGGATCCTAAAACTTTAACACAAGACAGGGTAGTTAGTTTGCTTGAAACTTCTGATCTGGATTGGCCAATACAATTAAACCAAAAGTCATTTTTATAGCAATGATAGTTTGTGTGATATGTGTTTTGAACAAGGACTTTCACATGATGAGGATTTATGCCTGACATTATATACTTATTTAGTTTCGATTGCACTTATGAAGAGAGTGGTGAGTAGGTAAACTAAACTTATGATGAATACACTGTGGAGGAACTCTTCAAAATGTTACGTAAACGGATCCGTTTACGTAACAAAATGTCGCAGCTACGATTTTACTTTTTCCATGAATTCTCAAGATGTAAGTAGAATGTCCACGACATTTTTGGCAAAACTGTGTGGCAGCAACATATGTTTCAGAAAATCGTAACGTCTGCGATCGAATAATCATAAGACGACACAATCATCGATATACTTCTCCACTTAAGTTATGAAAACGGAACGTTGAAAACGGTTAAATATCTGCACTTTTAACAGTTCCGTATTCATAATTATAGTGAGGAAAAATGTTGATCATGTTGGCGCCTCGTGAACTATTCGTTCACAAATTATTAGATTTTCATAAACATATGATGCTGACACATGTTTGTACCAAAACGGTCGTGAAGATTTTGCCTACAACTCATGAAATCTTAAAAAAGATAGATCGTACCTTCGAGGTTGCGCCATTTTGTTACGAAAACGGATCCGTTCTCGTAACTGGCTTTACGAGTTCCTCCTCGAGGACAGCCTGTCCTTGGAAATGTATTGTAACGTTCTGCTATTCTCCCGGGGCACTGCTAAATGAAAATGTGCAAGAACAGAAGTTCTGCCTAGTTAAAGACACCGTCATTTAAAAATGATTTAAATGAGGGGTAAATCCATGAAATATGTTACAGTATAATAAAGGACCTTATACACCCTCCATTGGGATCTCCCCATGGGAAAAAAATGATTCATCTGATTTTTCAAAATGAGTATTCTGCTTCAATTATTACATTTATATGCACACTAGTATCTTGTTGACCTATATTCAGCACTGTATTGATGTACAGGCCACTTATTAGGGTCATAATTCAATCATGAAGTGTAGAGGCATAGATTTCAAACCAGGAAGTATTTTTGTGTCTGTCAAAATCCATTTACATCCTACGCATTCCTGCATCTTATCCAAATATGTTACTACATAATGAAATATAATAGTATAATCTTTGGTTTTACAAACTTGTATGATAAAGTTGTTTTTGGAGCATTTTTCTATAGCCATTTTGCATGGAAAAATTATGAAAAAATGTACAATCTTTTAATTTTAAGTATGACCTGAATCGATTGCACATTTGATGAGATAAACCATTTGTGTCGTATCGTGAAATTATTAAGTTTGCAATCGATTCAGGTCATAGAGTATTTTTGGTATTTCTGTGATAATCAATGAAAACCAATGCCCTCAATTGGGATCTGCTGATATCCTCATGTTAAGTCAATGGTGCACAGCCCCATGTAAGTCAATACAACCTTACTGAACGAAATTATCCCTATCTCAGCTTATGTGTGTCCGAGCACTTTAATATTTTCCAAAGTATTATATGACATTTTATTCTTCATGTTACACCTACGAATGATTCATTTTGACCATAGCGATATTTGCCAATAATTGCACCCTGTCCTTTAACTTGTAAAAAACGAAACGGTCGCTGTTTTAATCATGACGATCTTGAATATGAATACAAATGAAACTTTGTCATGATATATTATCTAGTCCTTGTCACTTTGCCATAATGTTATACCCACAATAAATTGAAAAGAGTAGACAGATGTCCAAACATACAGACTAGTCCCAAAGATGAGTGATTTATAGAGAGCGGTTTCATGACGTTTTCAATGCGGTTTGGCGGTACCAATGCGTTACCAATGCGTTCCGACCGGTGAAAACCCGGTGAAAGGAAGGTATAAACCCGTTGAAAACACGGTGACAATGGTAAGCCACTACTCTTTAAACACGTTAGCCCGGTACTAGGTCGGTATAAAGCCGGTGCAGACCCGGTATAGCACGGTATAAACCCGGTCATAAATTCAAAAAGAAATGCGACCGTCGATGAATCGTCACCGTCTTGCCATAACTAGCAACACGGTGGCGAACGGTGAGCTTACACGGCAAGTGTGACCACAGCATAATAATTAGATTAAGGGGCCAAAGGAATCTGTGCATGGGGGTGGTCATTATGAAAAACCCTGTACATTAAGTAACATCCCAAATTCTCCGGAAATGAAATGGCTAAAGGAAAAGTAAAGCCAAGATATTACATTAGAAATCTATAAGAAATCTGAGAGCCCTCTATATCTGTTGATACACGTAGTACCAGAGGCTAATGTCGACTCAATATAGCTTGTTTGGTAAACATGATATCGGAGACTTTAAGCTGGCGAAATTTTTCACAACGTAACCGCGAACGCTGGTCTCGTATGTCAAACAATTATATTTAAAACACAACCTTTATTCGAATTTATGGTCGGACAAAAGTATGATGTTACTTTATTACCTTGAAGTACACATTATACTTATGTCCGATCAGACCACTTCCTGAAATTTGACAATTTTCTGTAGCCATGTTAGCCTGTCCCGTCCCCCATTGTATTCACTCCTGCGTGAAAATCCATCATATTTTGTCTTACCTTGCTCTTTTGAACTTTAGGCTGTTTTGGTTTAGGTTGTCTTGGTTTCCTTTTTGTTGGTTTGTTGGATACAGTTCTTGTGCAAGTAACCGATACTGTCTCAGTAATCGTCCCTCCTCGACATGATGTTGAAGTCCTTGCTTTCTTAATAGTGTTCTTGCAAACATTCCTTGATTGTTTCACACCGCCTGTGTGGACAGGTTTCCTTGCAACTGCCTTTACTTTGATAGATTTTGGCTTGCCCATCTTATGTCATAAGATCTGATCCTGGTAGTATACCGACGCGCTGTTTAACGGTTACTTGTAAAATATTTGCGCCAGTATTTAAAAAAACGACTTGACTTGAAGGAGCGTCTAATAACAACTTTTGGACCTCATATATTTAGAACTCACAAGTACCTAATAAATATTGTAAATATGCACATTTAATAGATGGCATAAGTGTTACTGTACTGTATTTTAAGGTACTTGGTGGACCCAGAGAGAAGATAAGCTAACTTCCGCGTATTCCTTCGTTTCGACATATTATGCCACCATTATCTGAAAACGACTTATCGAGGTACATGTGTATGCAATGGTTTCATGAGAGCCAAAACTATAGGTCATAGCAGTTCACTAATTTTCTCAAGTGGGTTGTTCTTCACACCTATGTCCCATTGGTTTATGTATAAGTATTGCTGCCTTAATATATATCACATTTAGTCATTATAATTATTTACAAAATTGATTTGAATTTCAATAACTCGAGGTTTTCAATTCCGATATTTTCTTTGAAATTTAATCAGGAGATTTTTGAAGCAATTTTTACATATAAAAGTAAACAATTAAAGTATAAATTAGACCCACGGGTGTTTTCGCCATCTATTTTCAGTCCTTAAGTCCATTGACACAATATTCCTTAGGCTTACACCCTTCGTTATCTTGATATTGGGCAACACTACAAGTCATGTTAATTCAACAAAAGCTTGATCTCTTGTAAGAACTTGAAATCTCATGAGAAACACCTCCGAAGATGTATCATCGAAATATCAAACTGATTCGATTTTAAAGTAATAGCCTATCATTTTATTAATTACATTTTCATATATTTTATAAATATAAATGTACAGGTGTATTTATTCGTTTAGCCCACCCTGTACATATTAATAAAAACAAAGCAGCGAAGCATTAGCATACGTCACGTGCGATCACCGAGCACGGATACAAAACATGCCGAAGCTTTTGATTATAATCCATAGAGTAATTCGGCATCTACCACTGATTGATTTTGATGTTTCGGAGGCTCTTTACGTTTGGAAACGTCCTATAAGTTCGCCATTTTGCTTTTGCTGTATATTAAGCGTCCACAGTCCCTTGCCTAATGTCTATGGTCATCAGTGAACTGCTCATAATACTCGAACTGCTTCATGCGTCACCTTTATCAACTCACTAATTATTTTTACTTGGATTGGTTGTGAAAGCAATTGGTTCGTTTTCACCATTTTCAGCACTCGCACTAGATTCTTGTAAAACAGTTTCTGAAGCACTTTGCTTTAAGTTCTGAGTACTACTTTTTGGTGTTATGGCGCCCTCTATATAAGGTGCAGGGCCAAAGTCATAGAGAGAATCGGACGCATGCATGGGCGAGGATACCTGAAGCTGCAGGGACTCTTGCTGAAGTTCCTCATCCAATTCATGAGGTTTTGGTAGCTTGGAAGCTGAACCCAATTTATCTTCTTTGAACCCAGGTTGCATGCTTGCTCCAAATCCAGCTTCAACTTGAATCGTCGTGGTGGGGGATGACTCATGTGAGCCGTGGGGAGGCTCCACGTTACCAGAATGGGACTCCTTGGAACTAGGGGTTGACTCCATGGTAATTTTCACCTGCTCTTCTAAGATTTGATGGTTGACTCACTGTACTGAAAAAAACAAAGATCTACTCAGTATTCAATTTGGGAATATTGACCGAATGTTTTTGTACAATAACACAATAATTTACAATACTTGAATTGGACACAACCCAATGATACTACAATGCATAATGATGAGATAATGCATACTCATCCAATAACAAAATGATACAATAATACACAATGGTGGTACAATAATGCACAATGGTACAATAATGTAAGCGATATAAAATATACAATACTACATAATGATACAATGATACATAATGGTACAATAGTGCATTCCAACGATACAACAAAACAAAATGATACAATAATACACAATGGAACAATAATGCACATGATATATAATATTTTCCAGATGCTGTCAGACAGTCAAAAAATCCATTTATTTTCTCACTTGGCCATATTCTTAAGTTTTACCCCCATATATAATAAATTTGGCCCATGACTTATCTACACCTCCTACCTTTCGTCAGAGAGTTGAGTAGAATTATGTCCAATTAGACATCTTTTTCTTCCTAATCCTCTAAATTTCAAAATGGTGGATGATTCAAAAAATTAGGATGACATGACAAGTCATTATGCTTTGTAAACTTGACCATCATACTTGAGATTGTTAATTATATTTATTACATCTTGTGAAATTACATATGTTTAGAATAGTTTATAAACTTGATTATCACATTTCAATCTGTTTATTTATTATTTTGGATATTTTATCACCACTTCAAAAAATTAACAATAGTTCATTCATGAAATTCATGGAATTCTAGCAAATTCTTGGAATCTGACGTCACTTGAACAGAGGGTGAGGAGAAACTTTTCTCAAGAAAATGACTGAGTTTCTTACTGCATTTGGATCCAATTTCAAGAATGTGCCTACTGACTAGGCACACATTTGACTTCAAAAAATAAGTCATGTAAATATGAGTAAGTAGACCAAATGATTTGATTGAGGGATTAGTACTTTTTCTAAAAATTGATTTTTTGACTGTCGGACATCATCTGAATAATGTTTTAATAATACACAATGATACAATAATATTGCACATGGTATAAAAATACCCAATGATATAATAATACAACAAAACAAAATGATACAATAATACACAATGGTACAATAAAGCAAAATAATACAACAAAACAAAATGATACAATAATACACAATGGTACAATAAAGCACATGATATAAAAACACACAATGATACAATTATACACAATGGTACAATAATGCTCATGATATAAAAATACAAAATGATACAATAATACACAATGTTACAGAAATGCACAATGATACAATAATGAGCAATTATACAACAAAAAGCAATGATGTGATGATACACAATGATTCAATAATGCGGAATGATGCAATATTAGATGATGGTGCAATGATACACAAGGATAAAAATGTACATAATACAACAATGCCCAATAATAATACACAATGATACAATTATACAATTATAGTTAATGATACAATGAAACACAATGATTCAATAATTAATGATATGATGATACAATAATGCCAAGTGGTACGATAATACACAATGATACAATTAATACATAATGATTAAATAATTTACAATGATATAATGATAATACAATAATACAACATTACCCAGTCATACAATAGTGGATGATGACCAATACACAGGGTGATACTAAAACAAATAATTATTCAACAATCGAGAATGATACAATAATACAAATGATACAACCCTACAATGATTCAATAATGCATAAAATCATACTGCGCAATAGTAATATCATGTGATGTAATGATGCATACCGATATAATATGGATAATAATAATACATTAATGCATACACAGAATGATACAATAATAAACAATGATACAATATGAAACCATGATTGAAATATATACAATATTACACAATGATACAATGATACAATATTGCAGAGTGGAATAATAATACATCTCAAGGATACAATATATTTTGTCCACACACATACAATGATTTAATAATGATGCAATAAGTACAATGACACACAATGAAACACACTGAAAATTATCATTAATTTATCCACAGAACAGCACGATACATGTACACAGGTATTATGCAGTATGTGTCCCTAAATGCAAAATACTGAAAGTATCGACACGTGCTCATCTAATGAATGCGATTTGAATGCGTTACACCTCCCGAATGCAATCCATGGAGACCACCCTTGTATGACTTATAAAATAATTTCATCAAATTATCATCCATAGTAAACAAAAATGTTGATCGTGCCTGAAAAATAGTGTTGTACTCTATAAAAGCCTTGTTGAGTAGCTTGTTTACATTTGAATTCACCTTCAAATCATACCCTAAATTCTAACCCACACTAACCTAGCTAAAAGCACAATAACCCACACCACAATTAAAGCCACAAATATAACTTATCCTACGTATGTTGACGTACCGACGCCTTGATAACGTATTTTGGTGTCGTCCTTGTCTAAATCCCTCGTATTACAAAAATAGATCGATCGTAATAATAACCAGTGGCAAAGCAACTTGGATATTGATCGACCTTCACCTTCTTGCAGATACGTAGACTTATTGCATAGGCTGGCGTTGCACGTAGTCCTTGTGTTATGATTGTGATATTAGACTACGGGAGAAATTGAAATATCATTTCTTTGGTAGTTTAAATATCGCAAACCAATGTACCTTGGTCCTATAGATGCAGTTCACATATTGCTCTCAGTTCATTCCAAGCATAGAGTTAAAGTTCACGAAGATCTTATTCTTGGTTTTCATAAAATTTCATAAAAGTCACTCAGGGAGTCACTCATTGGATTTAAGTTCCTTTGTCATCATATCACATCTTTAGAATACTACAGAGTATACTAATTACTCATTAAGTTCCTACAAGTCACTCGATCATTGGTTTCAGCTCCTGTTGATCACTCCTTGATCTTAGCTCGTTTCCCATTGGATTCAACATCACCTTTCTATACCTTGCATTGGGTGTTCATGAGCAACCCTTTTGGCTTATTAGTAATAATTATGTTATTTGTTTTTATTTGTCTATTCCTTATTAATGGTTTATCGGAGGACGTTAGCATGGCCGTCAGATGGGGGAGGGGGGAAAAGTTCTGAATTTATTTTATGTTCCTCTGGCATCCTCACCCCACCTCCCTCTTGGGCACAACCCCCCTCTTGGACACCCCCCCACCATACACTTTAAAAGTACCCAGAAAGCACCAAATAGCATCTTAAAATTGTAAAATTTTCTAGGGGGAGTGGGCCACCTCTCACCCACCCTCCCCCCCCCCCCCATCCACACACAAAACAATTGAAAAGTTCTGAATTTATATTATGTATTGGCTCAGACACTTTAAGTGCCCAGACATCATCAAATAGCTCCTTGATATAGTCAATGTTTCTGGGGGACTAACACTTGCCCCCCCCCCCTCTGGTATTCTCACCCCACCCCCCCCCCCCCCCTCGGGCACACACCCCCCTTCGAAACCATCCCCCACCCCACCCCCAAAAAATAATAATAATAAAATTGAAAAAATATGATTTAATCTTTTTTATTGACTCATACACTATACACTTTAAAGGTGCCCAGAAAGCACCAAATAGCACCTTAAAGTTGTAAAATTTTCTAAGGAAGTACTGTAGGCCACCCCTCACATCCCCCACAAAATAATTGACAAAAATTTTGAATTTATTTCATGTATTGTCTCACATTTTAGGTGCCCAGACTTCATCAAATAGCACCTTTATATGGTTAATGTTTCTTAGGGACAGATATGGGGAACAAACACTTGCCCCCCCCCTATGGCACCCCCCCCCCCCCCCAACCCTACCCCCCCCCCCCCCCCCCCCCCCCTTGGCACCCCCCTTTGACACCCCCAAATTTTGTAAAAATTGTGATTGTTGTTCATTTTTTATGTTGAAAGCCTATGTTTTATCTGATGCCTCCCCCTGATAAAGCATATTTGGCTTGCGGGATTGGCAGCCATACTAAATGAAAGCTGCGCATGCGCACTTCTTGGTCCGCCATTACTGCAGTTCGAGTGAATTTTTGAAGACCTACATTTCTTCGTCAAAATACTCTATTATACAATGGAAGGAAGACTTTCTTATCTAGTAGGTTTGCTGCTCCAGCTGTTGGTGCTTGTAAATGCACAAGAAGGTAAGTGTTTTTGTGCCGATGGTGTCTATAATTGTTCATTTTGGATTCGAAAAAAACTTGGCACGGATAAAATTTGTTCAGGCCCTTCGTCCTCCCAACTTCACTCTTGTTCCCACTGAAGGCAATTGTCTTTGTTTTTATTTCTCTTGGAAAAGAACTATTCTCATCTGTTCTTGTGAGTTACATGGGGAGTAAGTCACCCCCGGGAAGTCACACCCTGCCTATTACATTCTATTATATTTATAGATGTACTGCATGATACTCGTTTGAGGGTGTGTGTTACTATATTTGCACATAGCTATCTTTAGGAGATAGATGTCTCAGGAGATAGCTTTGTGTAAACTAAGTAAGGTGTGTGACTGAGGGCAAAGGGGTGTAACGTCGACGTTTGGGGTAATGTTGACATAAGAGACGGGGTAACTTGACACTTACGTATTAGAAGTAGAATTTTCATTTTCCACCATGTTTGATTTCGGGAAAAATTCAAATCTCGCAAGATATCGATCCATGCGGTAAACAAAACATGGCTTCCCCTTAGATCGGAAATTAGAGCAAATAAACAATAATGTGTCGAAGTTACCCCACATGTCAAAGTTACCCAAAAATGGCGTTGACATTACACCCCTTCGCCCTCATTGTAATTAGAAAAGCTCTCACTTCACTACTTAGGTGGGCTGCCTGTTTTCTCGTTTCAAGACCATCTCTTCATTCCACATTCTGGTCTTGAAGATCAGTGATTCTAAACTTTCCAATTCAAAAGCCAGTAAATATTGGCACTATAAATAAATAAGCTGCCCATTCATATTAGCATGGGCTTCTCTTGAAAGTCCATGATTCTTTTTACTGGAAGCATTTCAAACCTTCATTTATTTAGGTACAGGACTACAATCCTGACTACCATCATGTTACCTCCTTACAAACTTCAAAATAGTTCGCAAATCAGTTAAATGCAATACAGAACTGACAAAAACACTTTCCCTCAATATGTTTCCCAATCAGAAACCCAAGGTATGC